TTGTAAGGACCTCTGTGATTACGTTAAGCCCACCAAGATAGCTAAGATAATCTTTCCATCTCAGGGTTAGCTGATTATCAATCTTAATTCCATTAGCAACCTTAACTTCCCCTTAAAATGTAACATAAACATATTCCCAGATTCTAGGAATTGGGATATGGACATTGTAAGGGGTGAGGGAGCATCATTCTGCCTACAACATATGGGAAACTCAACATGTGTGTTTAGACATGTTAAGTTTGAGATGGCAGTGAATTGACCAAGTAGGAAGTTAAAGTTGTAGGCAGTTGAGTATCTGAGTTTAGAGCTCAAGGAGAAGTTGGGGCTAAATCTAGAAGTTGCCAACACAGAGATGGTATATAAAGCCAGGAGAGTGTATGACATCACTGAAGGAGAGACTAAGCCCAGTAAACTTCTACATTTAGGGTTAAGGCAGAGGAGGAGAGACTGACAAAGAAAACAGGGAAAGAACAGACAGAAAAAGAGGATGAAAACCAAAATTGTGTGGTGTCATGAAAGCCCAGAGAGGAGACTTTTCAGAACAGGCAAGAGTGATACCCTGGGTTCAGTACTGACTGGTGCAAAAGACTGTCACAGATTTGTGCATGGATTTCACAGCAAGAAATTGGAAACCTTGAGACATAATGTTTCAGTGGAGTCGTGGGGTCAGAACCAAAACTGATGCAGGTTGAAAAGTGAATGAGATATGACCAATGACCACAGGTGGTGAGGGAATGTCCTACATGACCTCAGCATCATTTCTGGATGCTTATTAAAAGTAGTGAGGTGATCACATTGATTAGAGGCTTTACAACAATAAGTAGCTAGGAGCTAAGCGAGTTAGCTGTTGTATATTTATACCTAGTTAGAATGCACGATGGCTACATTGATAGTAGACATAGCTAGGTGCTATGTGTATAAAACAATCCCTGAGAGTAAACTGGAGCAATGAACCACCTTTCTGAAAGCATCCCATGAAACCCTTTAGGACCAAATAGCAGACACTGCTTCGAAGGAGAAAATCGTAGTATTCTGTAGCAAGACTCAAGATCCCTTTGTTCCTCTGACTCGTTGACCCTTACAGGGATTGTTCCCTGCAGAAACAAAGTACCCCTATTAACTGATGGTTCTTCCCTATGTACCCACAAAGTACTGTACACTTTCAGGAGAAAGTGGCTAAAAGATTCTTAGTGTGAGGCTACTCCTCTGCTCCTTTTACTGGTTTTCAGACTCCTACAAAAGGAAACAAGAACTCACAGAACAAAAAAATTAAAAAGGAAAACCAAAAACCTTATCATTAACTTCATCAAATAAAATAGAATGAAAATTTCCTACGGATTTAGAGATTAGCCAGTAGAGAGGCTTAAAAACCCAGAATGAACTCTAAAAGGCTTTTGGCTCCAAGTTATGGTCCAGGAAAAATTTTAAATCATAACAAAGTAACAAAGGCATTTATTTCATTAAAGTCTTAATCTTACACCGTACATGAATTTAATTTCGGATGTATCATAGGCCAAAATGTAAAAGAAAAAGCTATATTTTTAGGAGACGGCACAAGATAATTCGCACCTTTAAAGTAGGCAAAATTTCTTAGAAAGGACACATGAAAACAAAAATTGACAAATGACACTTATCCAATATTGAGAACTTCTGTTTATCAAAAGACACATTAAAAAAAAATTGTGTTGGTAGAAGGCTACAAACTTTCAGCTATAAGATGAATAAGGTCTAAAAATCTAATGTAAAACATGATGACTATAGTTGATAACACTGTATTATATAATTGAAATTCGCCAGAAGAGTAGAACTTAAATATACTCACACACACACAAAAAGATAAATATATTAGGTGATGGATGTGTTAATTTAACTACATGGTAAGAATCCTTTCACAATTAACAAACAAACAAAAAACAAAACAGAAAGATTAATAGACCAGCCACAGACTGATAATATTTTCAAACATACATCTGACAGAGGACTTGTATCTCAAATATACAAATAATAACAAAACAAAAGAAAATTTTAAGTGGACAGAAAGTCTTAATCAGTAATAATTGTCTGCTTCATTGGTTCAAATATTTTCAATTTTGTGGAGTTAATAGCTTTTTTCTTTTAAATAATAAAAGGCGTGGGAAAAGTTGATTTAAACAAGGGGAGTGAGTAGTGTGTCTTAAATACTAAAAGCCAGGCTAAGCACCACCTAGTGGCAGAGATTTTGAATTTCAACTTGAGTTTTTGTGGAAAAAAAAAATTTTAAGTAAAGATACATTTTGAAAATTGAATCCGCAAAAAGAGTCTTGTAAATAGTAAGAAATTTTAATAAGATGACAGCCATATTAAAGTTTATTATAGTAAAACCAAACCAAAAAAACAAAATCTATTCAGCTATTTTTGCAGTGAAAATAACTATTAAGAATTATGAGACAATGAAGATAATAATATGATGACATAATACTTTGCCAAATATTTACATGGTAGAATTATAATTGAACATTAATATAATAAATATAAGTTGACTATTTGTGTGCCAGGTATTTAACATGTACTATCTCATTTAATCTTCCTGAGAACTGTGTAAAATACAGGCCCATACCACAAAATTTTCCCAATAGAAAAATCTCTTGGCTTCTAATGACCAAACCTCATAGAACATATTTACCTTTCAAAAAAAAATTTTTTTGTACCTTTGCTTATATTGGGAAAAATTATGTTTATGTCCCCAAAACTCGGTATAGATTTTTTTAACAAAATGGGCATGGGAAAAGTTTTGAATTACATTCTAGAATAAATTAGTCTAAATAAGATCCAGATCTTGTGTAAACATTTTGAGAACCACACAGTATTTAACTGTGAGGGAGTGCATCTCAGCTGTTGCCAGCACTGAGAAAGGCAACTTGTCCTGATGTGTCACCACCGTGCCTGTAATATTCAGCTCTTGTTTTTACTTAGTATTTGACAAAGTTCCCTCAAAAGATGAAAAAGTGTTGAAAATTCTTTGAGAATTGTGTGATTACATTATTTATAATAGAAGAGAAGATACTGCTGAATATAAAGCAACTTTTTGTTAAGAACTGTATTGATTATGACCAGAGTCAGCCTTTGAATTTAAGCAATGCTTAAAACAATTTATAAGCAAACATCATTTTTTGTTCATGCATACATACAAATTTTAGGGGTTTTTTATTAAGTTTTAGGAAGTGGTTGCAGGTCTTATAATGCATTGTAATTTTTTCCCATTAAAAATAATGGAAAATAAGCTCCCTGTTGGTGTTTTTAGGTGGAACCTCTGATTTTTAAGAATAGATTACTGATGCTAAGCAGGAGATGCCTGTAGAGTATTACTATTATACCATTTTACAAATGAGACTCAAGGAGATTAAACACTTGCCCAATGTCCAACAGTGGAGAAGTAGTAGAGCCCTGGCAAGCTGTCCCTAGAGGCTGTGTTCAAACCACCTGAACCCTGCCCCATGGTGGCCCTGCTATGATCACATGGAGGGTACATGCTTTGGGTCAGTGTTTCTCAAAGTTCTTGGTCAATAGATTGTTAGTTTGGACTATGATTAGATTAATATATCACCTCAAAGAGAGTTCTGTGGCTACTTAGATTTAGGAAAAGCTGAGTTTAACCAAATAAAACCTTTTACTTTAGTTTTCAGAGCCAAGTGGGCATTGCGATTCTCTAAGGTTGGCAGTTGAAGAAGGATTTAGCATTCTCCAGACTTATTTGTCTTTGAGATTTGTATAGATTAAGAATGGGATCGGTAGCATAAAAAATATAACATGTATGCATTATGTGTGTGTGCATGTGTATGTATATATGTGCCTTATAACATAATAATGGCTTAAACACACATTTCTTTGTCCTACATAACAAAAAGTGTGGAGCAGGGCAGCCCAGGGCCAGGCTCATTCTCTTTCC